TGCTAGTGTGTGTAGTGGTTACAGTGCTGGACTAGGAGCAGCGAAACCCAGGTTCCATTCCTGCCACAGGTCTAGAACACAGCTGAGTGACTTGGTCCTTAAATTAGCATCAGACTTTGCAAAAAGCCAACTGAAAAACGAAACCCCTCATTTCATAATGCATTGACCGCTATCTGAACTGCAGTGAGCACAGTGCAAAATAAACAGGCCCTGCAACTAAGCAGGACAAAGACTAGGAAAAACATCTACTATGCGGTGCCTTGATGCCTCTTTAGTAGAAAGAACAGAAGAAAAGTATTAATGATGCCCATTTTTGTCTTTCCACCCCCAGAACATGTTGTGATACACACCTTACACACCTTTACAAGGGTTTATAGAATCTGGAAAAACATTTTACATGAAGGTCCTTCAAATATGATTGAATTGGGCTGTTACTGTCATATACAGATGCACAAAAGTACATGCACCCAGCTATTGCCAAGAAGCACCAACACTGCATGAAGAAATGACTTTGCCTACTACTTCTACAGTAATCGATGCCTATCTTTAATCACCTATTGCCAAAAACATTGTATTTCACAATATTTTTTTTCTAGAATACACACTGGAGAATAAAAGATTATCTTCTGCTCCCATGCCAAGGAATGTTTGACTAACCCATATTTTCCTGCATAATATAAAAGAGCATTCTACCTTTAAAAATCCACTCCATATGATTATGTCTAGTTAATGAAAAGAATATTTCTCTTTTCCAGAACTGTTCACACATGAAGTCAGAATGTTGCTGTGTTATCGGTTAGCATGATGTATGAACTCATTCATTACAACTTAATGTTATGTGCAAATTAGGCCATTCAACAATTCATGGTTACAAAATCCTGGCTTACAATTTTAGCATCTTACAAGTACTGTAGATAAAATATCAATAGTGACTTATTCCTAAATACTGAATATCAAATCTCAGATGATTGCTGGTTAGGAATCTTTCATGATGTGAAAGGGGCTCCATGGAACAGCCTCCTAATTGATATCAGATTGTCAAAGATCATATTGCTTCAGAGGGACATGCTGCAATCAAAATGACACAAATCACCTGTTGAGTGACTTGAATTTTTTTTTTTTTTACTATGAATGTACAAAAAATTTTACTGTATGTTGTGAATTGACAAGAGGCTACTTGATTACAGCAGGTACAACCTGAATAAACAAATAAATTCTACAGGAAGAGCATATCCTACAGCCATTCTGAAAATGAACTGGAAAAACATGTTTCAGTTCATTTTAGATTTAAAACATTGTTGATGATGACACTTATGTGGCCATGAGAAAAACTGTTATGTCAATAAAGAAATATGACATACAAATTTATCTGCTTTAAGTAGTGAACTCATCCAACTGATGTCTTAAGACTGTAAAACGTGGAAAAGGAAACATCAGTAATTTTGCATTTTCTCTTCCCTCTTTTACTTGCAGAAGAGTAAGTGCAAGGAAATGCATTCTTTTCACCTGGGAAATTACTCAGGAAGGAGAACACAAACAGAAAGCATGGATCACTCCTACCTACCAGAGCTTATTCTCCATCAGTATATCATCTCCACAGCATACCACTGAATTCATTCTCATTGGATATGCTATCAAGACCTCTTCGGATAAAAATAAATTTGTTAGTAGCACAAGTGTGCAGAGGAAGAAACAGAAACTTCATGCATCCAATGGCTCACCTCTAGTTGTTCTGATGACACTACAGGTACTGTTATCTGCTGTTCCAGATTGCCAATTTCCCGGAGGGTATAGGTTTGTTCATTCTCTTCTAGAACAACCTCTTCGCGGAGATTAATCCATAAGATGTGAGAATGTTTCCTCTTTGCATCTGTCAGGTAGTTCAAGACATTCCCAATTGCCTAAACAGAAATGGTAATGAAGTCATGATGTCTTAAAAAGGAAAACAAGAAAAAATATTTACAAAAGTCTACAGATGATAAGTCTCATCTTCCCATGCCCTAGGCTATTACAAGTAAATCACATGAATAAATCAAAGAACTTGTAGAGAAACCTTCAGTTGCTGGTGTTTCTTTCAGATCAGCTTTGATAAGAGGCACTCTGAAGTGAAGTTAGTGCAACAAGCATTTCTGAGCAGGGAGGTGTTGAAAGCAGATCTTTGGCCTTGACCACATGAGACAGAGTGGAGACAGGCAATGGGACAGAGAATTCTGATAATGGCCAAGACAGTAGGAAAAATATTACGACTTTCAAAAAGTTCCACAATTGTTTTCAAAGAGTGCCGCAAAGCAGTGTTGACAAACATCTATTTCTATGATGTATTACTGTTTCTGCTAGATTCTATTAAGTACCAATTTGAAAAATCTAAAAACATCAGTATAGTTCCTCTTTAAAATCCAGTTTGGGAATAAGGTTTGCATTTACCTGGTCCCATCTCAATCTCTTTCTGGAAACGACATAGCAATGTACTTACCTTGGAGTTAGGCTGAGCCATTCCATACACAGGCATTTTGGGGACCCTCCGGAAGTTGGCCACATTCATGTCTTTGACAGTGCTAAGAACATCTGGAGAAAACCGTTCATCCACAACCTGCAGCAGAGATAAAATTATGAAGCTTTTGTCCATTTTATGGATAAACTGAATATTTCTTATTTCTATCATAAAAACAGTCTTCCTTCAACCAACCCAAATTCCAAAGAAAGAACAGTAATAGCTGTGGTTACATGAATGAAAAAAACTGTTGTTTTGAGATGCACAAGCTTATTTTGTTCTCTGCAGATAATCATGGAAGAGGTGACCTATGTTAGCATGTGCAAAGTTTGGCATAACCCTTAGAAGTAAAAAAAAATGTTGCTTCCCTTATAAATGCAGGGAAGAATCTTAAGAACCTGACATTAGAAGAAGATTACAAATTACTTTCAGGGCACCTGAGAGGAGAAAAACAATCCTAGCTCTGAACTAAGTTGAACTTTAGCAACAAGAATATTTTATAGTAATATGTTAACTGAACCGTTGTGCACAATGGCTCTGACTTTGTGGAAGGGACACTAATAGAGAAATGCAAAAATTAAGAGAATGCAAAACAGGACACTCACCAGCACCCGTACTCCCTTTATTATCTGCTCCCCTGTGATTCTAAGTTCTGACAGATTCATATTTGCTTGAAGTCTGTACAGTTCAGGGTGCCTACAGATCCATCTACTAAAACTGAGAGCGAAAGCCAAGGGATACTGCCAGCCCAGAAGAAAGAAGAAAAGAACAGTTTCAGGAACATGGGGTGACCCCAAGAACTGTACTCATCAACTCATCAAAAGAACTAGTTTTCAGGTCATTGAGGTGCCTTCCATTTCCACTCATCCAACTTTTACATAGTGAAAGCCTGACTGAAGACAGATGTTTTAACAGGCATCTAAAAGACATAACAGAAGGTGCCTGACAAATTTCAGGGCAGAGAATATTCCATGGGGCAAGCACCAGTGCGAAGAAAGTCAACAGGTGAGTGGCCACAAGATGGCACTCTGAGGTTTTCAGCATACACAGCACAGAGGCACTCAACCAGGTTTATCCAAGCAAAGTCCCATCAGGTAGCCTATTCACAAGTTGCTTCAGGTCTTAGAGATGCAGACTAAGGTGTTTATAGCCCACACAGCTCAAGAATCTCAGGGTGGCTATATTCATTAAATAGATGATAAAAAATGAAATGTTAAAATCTTAAAAGAGTAAAACTATAACGACCTCAATTTAATACTGGAGAGGCACAGATTTTCAGGAGCAATAATTAATCAAGGACAGGCAGTAGCTATTATGTTCCAAATGTATTGTAAAAGGCCAGATCTTTACCTGGCTCCAGGGGAAAAAAAAATAATAATAATGTTGGCACCAGTCTGGCTGACCACCATAGCAGAGAAGGCACTTTGTGATACCTCCACCAAGAAGCCTTGCTACTACTCACACTTTAATGTTCAGGTATATACATATCAAGAAATGTGCTCCTTGGAGTTTTAGTGTTAAACCATTTAGGATCTTAAATATCATTATTAAAATTTGGCAGTGTATAAGTAGCCACCGCAGTTCCTTTAACCCTGGTGTGACACAGTCTCTAAAAAGTTACATCACCTCCAGTTTCTGGGTCAACTTCATGAGAAGCCTCATGTAAAATGCTCCACAATAGTCTAATCATGTGGGTACTAGAACATGTACTACTATGGCCAGTCCATTCCTGTCCAAGACAACTGGCTACTCACAGCTGGCCAAACACACATATGGCTATGAGAACACTTGGACCTCAAGCGATAGGTGATCCAGAAGAATACTAAGCCTGCATGTCTACTCCTTCTGATGGAGCACAACCCCATCTAGAATTGGAGACTTTACCAAATTCTTGGAACTGTAAGGTACCAAACCACAATCTATCTTATCAAGGTTCAATCATAGCTTATTGTTCCTTATCCAGCCCATTACAGAATCCAGACATCAGTCCAACAGCTTCACTGTCTCATCTGACTTTAATGGCCAAGAGAATGAGAGACGGGTATTATCTGCATATTAATAGTGCTCAAACTCTTTGGATGACTTAGTAGGCAAACACAGTGCCAAAGTTATGTGCAGATTTGACACTGGTGCTCAAGTTTTCTTTTATTAGGCCTCAAAATATTAATTTAAATTATGTTAAATTATATTAAATAATTAAATTAACAAAATATTAATTTAAATTATGTTAAATTACGTTAAATATTAACATAATACTTAATTTTTTGCTTTAGTTGCTTTAATTTTAATACAACTAAACAATGTTTGAGTGATGATGTTGGCAACACAAGGCAACTTTTTTCAGTAGTTTGGACAGATCAAGATCCAAGAGATTACCATCAAGAAGCAATTATGAAAGTATCTTACCATCAGACATTTCTCTATCAAGAAAGGTGAGGAGTTCCATGTTCACATCAATTCACTGGTAGACCATACAGCTTCTGTCCCATATTTGTGCAAAATTCTTCAGGACAGAGCTCAGTTATCTGAAACCAAGCTTCTAACAGCCTGCCCCACAGGCCTTTTAATTAACAAACCTGTTAATGGACCTGAAGTTTGATGACTGAAGTACATGGATTTTTCAGCTGTACTGCCTACACTGTGGAACTGTCTTCCCACAGGAGGGCTCACTTGTATATTTTATTCTTTCCCCCCCAATAAGTAGCCATAACAGGGATAGGCATGATATGATTCTCTAATGTTGTCAAAATGAATTTCCATTATTCCTTACTGCCTTGAGTTAATGGGAGCTGGAATTTAGTAATATTTGAACATCTGAGCTATACCTTGCCTAACTATGAGGAAAAAGATGGGTCTTTGAGACAGTACTTGGCCAAACATGATTACTGAAAGTCACCTGGCTGTGGCAGGAATTGGAAAATGCAAGATGAAGATTCATGGAGGAATGCTCACCTGTTCATGAAGGTAATAATTGAAAGCAATCAAGAAGAAATAGCGTTCAAGTCTCTGTAATGTCTTCTGAAGGAAATACTCTTTGGTGCTGTTCTTCTACAACATAAATAGATATAACAGTCCAGGCAACTGAATATGTGTTATGGAACGCTAAACTACTTATCACAATGAATCAAATCCATTTATACATATATTGAGAGAGAAAAAGAGATGCAGATAATGTAAATTTGCCTCTCAGTGTAAATTACTACTTACACTATGCTACAAACAACCCACAACAAGGCACACTAAATATCTTGGAAGAAAATCATTTAGCCTTATCAATGCTGCTTCTCAAATCATGATGACATTACAGGTCATGACAGGTACAGGACAAGGTATCCCTGCCCTGTGGTTATTAGTACCTTCCATTTTTATTAAGTAAGAGCAGAGTGTATTAAGATGCTGATTTTTGTACCCACCTTTATGACTTCCCTTTTAATGTTATCACAATTACACAATAATAGGATTTTTCACTAGCCTCTTAGCACCCCTGCAAATGTCCTCTGATCTATAATTTTCAGCAAAAATATCTTTAGGACTGCAGCACTGCCTACCTCTGACTTTGGAAGTCCCAAGATTATTTCCTCTACCCCTATAATCTATGACATAAGTTCTTTCTAGTTGTTTTAGGGAACTAGCCTTCCCAACTTGGAGTCTCCAACCCACTTTTAAAACATTAATTTTAAAAAATGATAAACAAGCAAAATATCAGCTTAAACTTTTATTTCTAGGAATCTAACTGAGCCCCAAAGTTCTTAGAAAATAAAAAGGATCAAGGGGAGTACAAAATATACTAGCCCAGGGGGTTGCCAGTGGGGATGGCATGCTGGCAAGCTAGTACTTTGTATGTGGTTATGTCACTGTGACAGATATCTTGTGATAGGCAAATCTCTCAACAGCCATTTTGTGAGGATTCCAACAAGGGTTGGGGACTCTTGTTTAAGATCATGATTTTCTAACAAAGACATCATCCAGAGACCTCTGTTCTTCAGGCAACTCAACTTTTAAAGCGCCATTACCCCTCCAGGAAACATATGGACACATTCATGGTCCCCATTACTGACCACTTATCCTCATGTCAACTCCCGTGACACAGGCTAAGCTCAGAGATAATGACTTGTTAATACCACATCATGAATTTCAAAACTGAGTGCAATTTAGATAAAATATTCCTGATCTACCTCCAGTTTTTAACTACGCTGGCTCTCTGTATGGAAAAAATAGAGCTTTGAATGATTGCAAAGAGGCTTCATTTGGTTTTGGAACAGAGGGAATTTGGCAAGGATCCACTGGAATCTTAGATTATATAATTGCCTTTCATTAATATTTACTTGTTATCCTCTAGGAGAAATCCGGCCTGAAGTCATTTATCAAAAAGATTTAAGAAATACGCTTAGAACTGAATATTTTCCTGCACAGACTATTTCCATCCACATGTTAAAAGAAATGATAATAATGGCACAAATCCAACCAAATTTAAGCCCATTCAAACCCTACTGCTCCCAAGAGCAGAGATTATGCAACAGAGTTTAAAAAAGAAGAATAATTGTAACATATTTTATGGTTGCCCTTGAAAGGATATTTACTGAGATCCTATCATACATTCAGAGGAGCATAAATTATGTATTTTGTAAAGCCTGTTCTTATTTATTTAAAAAAGACTGGACTGTGCATATATCAAGTCTCCACAACCTGTGCAACCTACCACATAAAGATAACATAACCATAAATTGAGGTGATGTGCTAGGTGTTAGATATACAGCCCCAGAAAGTAACAACAACAAAAACAAGAAGTCTGTCAACCCCATGGTGGGCAGTTGGCTTAGAGACCTACCATGTGTTACAGACATGTTTTGCCTGCTTCTCACAAGGATGCATTTGCCTGAAAAATATGTTTCAAGAAAAAAAATTCCATTGTTTAAGAAGAGCTGTTACTGTGCTTGAATTTCATATAAACATTAACTGTGTTTATATGTAGAGTGACTTCCAAAGGCTAACTTTTTAGAGCTGGTGAAGACACACACTACATGCTGTGAGGGCAACCTGAAAGTCACTTCAAAAGCAAAGCTAAATTATTCTCACAAAAACACTGCTCAAAAACAGCAAAAAGAGGAGAAGATCCTAGCAGGTGAATTTCAACTATAAAGAAAGAGTCTCACATCACAGCAGAGAAAAAGATGGCCAAGTCCAGAATAACTCACAGATCTGAGAAAAATATTCTTTAGTAGCCTATTTCTGTACTACTTTCTACCAGGAGTTTGATGCAGGTGTACAGTAGATATTCTCTCCTCACTGAAACCAGGCAAGCTTGTAAGGGAGTTATTCAAAGAATGGTGACTGCCCTAAAGTCCCTCTATGGCTAAACAGAAATTGGAATCCTAGCTTCCCCAGGGCTGGCTCTATCATTAGGCAGAACACAGGAGCAACAACTGGCCAATGATGCTGGCTATCCTCCTGCCCCAATTTTTTCTGCTGAATTCCTTGGTTATTTCCTTCTGCTAGAGGAGAGGATAGTGTGCAACACAGCCTAACCTTTGACTCAAAAGCTTATTCTTAACTGCTGTGAAGAATGCCTTCCAATCATATGTATAAATGACCATTGGTCAAGTTCCCGTACATCAAACAGAGGGGTGGTATTTGGTCTTCTACTGCTGCAATACGTCTTGAGTCAACCCTGACATACAACCACTTTATCAGAGTTTGCAACAGATAAACAATTTTGAGCCTCCTCCATTTATGTTAAGCAGAAGCAAGACTAAGAATGTAAAAATGGTCTTCCTGGATTAGAATAAAGTTTTTTACCTATCATGGTCAAATCCCACTGAGCCAGGTGATCATGGCATACCTCCATCTTTCAGCTGAGGTTACTACATGGCTTAGGTGGGAACATAACACCAAATATCCTGTACTGCAGGAGTTAGTCATCCTTTCAACTTTTTGGTGCTCCAGTATAATAATACAAGTTTTAAAATAGCTGAACTATTGAAAGATTAGAGATCACACTTATGAGATACTAGACCTCTTACAAAAGAATACCAAAATCTTCAAAAGGACTTTCCCCCAAAACAACCTTGTGCAATACCAAAGTCTCACAGAACTTGGCAATCTCATGATATTTCAGCCATTTTAATTTTTTTTAAAACAAATAAAGTATTTAATGTGGGGGTTCTATGCATCATAGAGGGATGACACAGGAACTTGGAGCTTTGAGGAACTGAGTTATTGACCTCTGTGATATGATTAAATTAGGCTGAAACACCAACAGGGGGTAAAGCAAGACAAAGACCTAACTAAGCCATAGGGGCTACCTGATACAGAAAAGTCTCGTGTGGACTTGTGGGGGTCACTCTGCAACTTCCCTCCCATGGCCAGAACTAGGTGATGAACAGAGGCCATGACCTAACACCATTTCAAGCATGATGCATCAGAAGAAGAATAAATCGCAACAGTGATAAAACAATTAAGAGCAAGGATTTTGTATCTTCAACTCCAAGAGTTCACTTGGAAATTCAAGATATCTTTCTGATATTCTGGATAAACATTTATCCAGTGGAAATCTTTCTGGCTTTCAGTACAAACAGTCCTTTGTTTATAGTCATCTTTTACACCTCAAGAATCTTATAGTCTATCCTGTTTATATATCTTTAGGCATGGGTGGGGTGCTTTTAAAAGAATTAAAGCGGCATATCCATGTTTTTAATCTTTCTTCTTTCAATTCTTTGAAGTATTTGTCACCATTAGATGATGTTACAGGTTGTAACAGAAAACCACTTTTCTCACTCCAACAAAAATAAAAAGATAAACTAACTGGCAGACTGAAATATTCATGATATACAGTAAAAGCAACAACTCATTTGGGGTGACCAAATGCAAGTCATTGAGTCCAAAACTATACATTTTTACATGTTTGCTAAGAAAAGTAAAGCTCATGAAAGACTTCACAGAACACAGCTAACCAATTAATAAAATGGCAAGTGTCTAAATTGAAATAACTAGCAAATTTATCATTTTTCTTAGGAGAAACTCAGAACCGAGGCTTAGCGTTATCTGAACAAATAACTTATGTGTTATGTGAAACTTATGTAAGTTTCCAGTTTCAGGTAATCACAAAAGCTGCAGTGTTAAATGTAATGAGTATACAGAACAACCTTTCCTGACCTGGGGTTATCTATTCTTCAACTCCCTTGGTTCCAGGTTTGATCTATAATGGCTGAGAATTAGGAGAAGTGAACTCCAAGACATCTGGATGGCAACAAGTTGAAGACAGTGCACATGTAAAACAATACTGCACAGTATCATCTAGTGAAATTGGCATCAGTCTCCAGAAACACATTTTTCCCATCATCTGTTACATGAGATTGTTAACTGGAGATTCCACAGATTAAATCTTCAGATGATTTGCAGCTATGTTCCCTCTGAATGTACCTGGTTCAAACCTGTAATGAACTCATTACAAGATATAATTTCTCAACTTCAGTCTCCACTTTGCCTGTGAGAGTGTAAACTTACTGACTTTTCTTACAAGACAGATGGACTTGAAATGTACATAAATGCCAAGAATCATATCTAAATTATCACATGATTATTGGGATAGTAGCTTTCTGGAAATCTGAAAAAAATGGGCCTATACAGACTAGATGGGCTCCCCCGCCCCCCAGTCACCTGCAACCATAGTTGCCAGAAAGGTTGCCATAGGTTCCTACCATTTTGAGGTAGGACACATGCGTGCACACACACACACACACACACACACACACACACAAAGAAAAGCATTAAACCCTAAACCAGACTCAGTATAATGGGTAAATCAGAAATAAAAATCCAAAATCTTCAAACAGATTTTTAAACCTTGGATCTACCATTCTGCATTATGATCCCACCATTGCCTTGGGCACCCACAAATGCTTAGTCCAACCCCAGCCATCAAAAGGTTGCCAACCCCAACATATATCAAGAAAGGCTTCTGACAGAATGAACTGTTGCAAAATCTGTAATTAAAGTATCTTCTACCATGAATGACTCTCTTCCAATAAAACTTAAGATTTCTAATTCCATTGTAGTTAGATATCCCCATTTTCTGAAGAAGACAGCAATTCCCAGTCATAAAAGTGTGGGCCAACGATCATCAGAAATGTAAAGAATGTAAATAACTGTGGAGAACTTACTAGTGTCATGGATCTTGTCACCATTTACAAAGAACTACTAGTACCTGGTTTTGATAATCTTCTCCAGTTCCTTCCAATTTCCTCTTGTATTCATAGATGGCTTCCTTCATATCATGCATTTCTGAACACAAGGCAATGGCAGAATCCACCTTTGAGGGCCAAAGAGAAAATGTCAAAAATCTACTGAGAGAGGATTTCATTCCCTTCAATCTTATGTCTATTTTATCTGCCTCCTCTGTTCATATGATCACCTGGAAGCTATTTTTTTTTTTAACTGAAATGAGACTTGGGCAAGCACGGGCCACCATGTGGTCCTTCAACCGCTGTGCATCTCCAGAACTTGTGCCAGTGAAGTATGATGGTGAAACCCCAAGAAATGCAGGACAATTTTTCATAATTTGGGGTAGGAAAAAAACTACCAAGTCCTTCCCCCTCTCAAACATACACCCCTCCTTTCCCCCATACCCCAAATGCTGACATAAATACACAGCTGAAATGAAAAATGTGTATTTGAAAAACCTTCAGCATAAAAAGCTTTCACTTACTGAAAAATAGAAACAAGGACTGTAGGGTAGAGGAAAATCACTAGAAGAAGGAACAAACTATTTTGACTAGGTGAACCTATTTGCATGTTCATTTTTCACTAAATCTACTGAAGAGTTCTTTAACTCAAAAAGAAAAGCATTTTTAATCCCTTGCAGGACCAAATTAAATATTATGCTATACATGCTAAAGAACTCTTCCAGCCAAGATGTAATCTGTATGAGTTTACTTTTCACATATAGTAACCATCTATCCGCATGTCTTCAATCCTCCAACAGCTTCCTCAATAAACATAACACTACTTTGGACAGCTTGCCCCAACCTCATGGCCTCTCTCAGCCATGGATACTGGGAATTCTGGGAACTGTGATCCCAAGGCATCTGGATGGGCATCCAGATTGAGGCAGGTTGACTAACTGTCTTTCTAGTCATAATGGAGAGAACTCATTTCTTTCTGGACAATCAGGCATTACTGTTTTCATCATTAATGACTACATTAATAATATAATCAAATACAGAGAGTTGCAATCACTCACTCATACATACATACACATAATACACACTCAGACACAAGGAGCTACATAACTCATCATTTAAAGAGGACACCATGAAGTTTGTCTGTTTGATTCTTGGGTTCTTCCACTCAATTTGTAGAGTTACTATAGGTCCTTTATCAGATGCTGTCACAGATTGGGACAAGTAACTCTGACAGTCTTCACCAGGTACAGTAAGGGTAACAAAGCAGAAAAAGGCCACTGAAACCAAAGGAACAATACAGGCAGTTCACTTACCTCCTCCACTATCTGCTGGCCATTGGGTACCATGCTGATGAAGTTCTGAATAATTCGAAATTGTTCCCTGGGTGAATATTTGGTAGACTGTGGAAGGCTGTGATTAGGTAACATTAAAAATATTCCTTAATGTAAAGTATCCATAGAATCTCACAAAAGTTTATCAAACTTTCTAATTTTCCTTTTGTCAAAATTATGTGATGTGATGCACTTCATCCTGCGCTTATTCACACTACTTAATTAAAAAAAAAAAGTTCCTACTTGAAGCAAAGAATTAGTATATGCTTGATCTGTTGGTACTATTACACTTATTTTAAATAAAATAAAATAAAATTTAAAAGAAGCTGTAGCATTTAGCTTGACCAAACATGAAATCCTGACACCCATACTGAAATTATATTTTTGTTCTATATTTTGTTCTCTTAATGTCACATATAAAATACTACTGGAGTCAATCAAGTTTCCCTTTATTTCATACCCCTACAGATATTCAGAAATTCTGCATTTTGATGATGCCTAAAATAATAAATTGACAATCCTTATGTAAATAATGCAGTCCAATCAATGCTTCACTGGGATAATATCTTACAAGGGGAAGAAGTTTCTAACTGCCCTTAGTTTATGATAAAACTAGTTCCTGTGATAAGAACAGAGCCATCCCTTCTTGATAGAAGCAGACTTTCTAGTACCTATAAATAATCATGACTTCCTTCCAATTTCATTTGACCTCAGGAGGAGACACTATACTTACTCTTGTTTTTGTAGGCCACCTTTACGGTGATAGAGAACTAGAGTTCCTAAGACCATGGCTAAATTGGTCCTCCCAACACCAGTTTGGCAACTAAAAACCAGAGCAGGAGGTGGCTTGCTGGGATCTTGGAGAAGGAGCAGGTTTGGACTTTCCTGTAAGACAGAATTGCACACATTTGTTGGGCTGCCATTTGCTCAAAAGGGTGGCCACCGAACAACTATGTGAGAGGAAAAATATTCCTCAGCCTCCTAAAGTTCACACACATTGTCTGTTGTTGCTCCAGATCAAGAGAAGGAAACACTCTTGGGTGGCCAGAAAGCAGGCAATGGGTTTTCTATTCAACTCCTCTTCATTCTGCATAAGCAGGGGATCAGATTTGATGGCTTCTCAGCCTCTTCTAACTCTGTTTCTCCCTATTCAGTCTCATAAGGTGGTGAGATTAGCCCCAACCCTATTGGCCTTCCAGAGATCTCTCAAGACATGGTCTTTCCAGCAGGCCTGGGGATCCCTTCAGAACAGGGAGCCCACAAGATGGCTTTATCATGTATGAGTTTTTAAACACTCTCCCATTGGCCTTGTTCTATGCATGTTTCTTGTTTTCTATGGTTATTTTAAGATGTGTCTTTATTGTTTTGTTTTTATTGTACCCTGCCCAGAGCCGCATTCATGAGATAGGTAGCTCTAGAAATTTGATAAATAAAGTAACTGTAACTCAGTATGTCCTAAGTCCCTACTTAGATCACATTTCTTAATACACAAGATAATAGTACTAGCAAGCGGACAAAAATTCTGTTGTTTTTTATCGTGTGTGTGTGTGTGTGTGTGCGCATGCGCGCACACACCTTTGAATCAGTGTTGACTCCTGGTGACTACCTGGACAAGTCCCTACAGTTTTCTTGGCAAGATTTCAGAATTGGCTTGCCCTTACTCCTTTTTAGGGCTGAGAGAAAGCAACTGGCCCAAAGTCACCCACCTGGCTTTGTGCCCAAGACAGGACTAGCCTGATGCCTTAACTACCACGACAAACTGGCTCTCTTTTTATCTTATGCAATTAAAAAAAAAAAAACCTTATGTGAGGCCTTATGTGTTTTTAAAAGTCAAACTTTTTTAAAAAATAAATGAAATGTTCTCCCAAGAAAACATGCATAGAATTGCAACTGAATGGTTTATTGTTCCCCAAACGAAGAAAGCCTCTCTCCTTCCTTTAATCAAATTAGCTTAACATATTAAACATGGCATAGAATCTATCCTATAATTACTCTAACCCTGACTTGTTTCCACAACACTTTTGCATATTTTTAGTATCTACCAAAACTGGCTCTACCCTTAGCAAAACAATGAAACTTCCAAAGTAAACACAGTCACTGTAGCTAGCAATTTGATGCCCATTAATTAAATTCAGTATTACAGACTTGATCCAGGAAAAAAACTAAGCATTCGTTTTAATGGTTTTCTAATAAAATCAACAGGCCTTTAAAAGCTTAATTTCTTGCTGGCTTGTGCAGTAATTCTTTTTACAGTATGGGGGGATATTAGGCGTTTATATTTTGCACAACAAAATCATACAGACCGTCCTGATCCTAAAGCAAATACAGGCATCTAATAAACGCGTGTGTTCAAACACCAGCTCGAGATCCAGAAATAGACACAGCTCTCTGATGAATCTACACTCAGCAGAGGCAAATACAGAGGAGGAAAAGCAAATGTTTGTAGTATCTGCACCCAACAGGAAGGACTTCCAGCTTCTGCTAACAAGCATCTTGCATGTGCTTCCTTTTCCAAGTGAGGTTATTAAATAAAAGACAGCTTGTAGATTAACATCTGGCAGCACCCCTTACCCTGAGGAAACTGATGAAAGCATCAAATTGTGTTTCTAAAGGAGCTCCATCCACAGGCAAAGGGAGTCGATGGTACCTACCAACAAAAAGGAGTTATTTCCAGATTTTGAAAATTCCCTCGGTCAAAATACAGGCAAGCTTTGCACAGAGACTCTTAGAAAACATTTAATTCAACATATTGGCATGATGGAAAGAATCAATGCAGATACCCTGTCATTTCCCCACCACTTTCTCATATGACTGTTTCAGTCATAAATTTCTAAATAGAAGCCGGTGCTTCATTCTTAACAATGACAAATTTTACCCATCACACAAAGCCATGCTTTATTTAACCATGCCTTGTTGAATAAGATACAACTGGCTGAGTTTACAGAATCCACTAAGTCAAAACTGAACAAATGACACTATGCCAGTGCAATGTGCTAATCCAATCACTTTATTATGCAGAGATAGATAACCTGATATCTGTGGGCAGCAATCTGTAACCTGGACATCTGTAAAACTCCCTGTCTCTCCAACTTTAACTTTGATAAATTTAAATTAGAAATAACAATTGAGTGGGAAGCACCAAACCAGCCTCCAACACCTGAAACCATAAACATTCTTAAAAATGGGGGGGGGGGGCAAGTTGCAGTTCACCCCCACAAAAAAGACCATGGAAGCCAGAATGGTAGTAAATCTCCTGGAGACCAAAAAGTTTTGTGTTGAGTAACTGTAAGAGTTTGCCTTTGAGGAAATATTTTCTACGCATATGACAGGCCACACCCACCGTGGCAGCCATTTTGAGGCTATGCATCCTGACCCCAAGAGCAGCCATGGCTTTCTCTCTCAATTTTAATAACCCTACCAGCTCAAGACATGGCCTACATTCTTGGAATAATGTTTTGACAGGCTACTACTACAAAGGTAAAGCAAACAATGGTGAAAAGAAATAATGTCCAAGTTAGTACAATTACTTTATTAGTAAGGACAAGATTCTTTTCCACCGAAATTTACCTGTAAGATGGCAGCAGGAAGATGGGCCTCTTGTACACTTCCTCTGTCACATGGATGTCTTCTTCACAGAGGATGTTGACTGAATGCGGTTCATCTTTGAAATGTTCAATATCATTATAGACGTAATATATATTCTCACTCAGCTGGGCAAAATCATGTATCTTCAACAGATAAATCCAAGAAACCAACCTGAGAAGAGTCTTGCTTTATAAAACATGATCAACAACATGCTTACATGCAACGTTCTTCCCTAGACCTCATTGCGGGCATTGCTGATGGCTCACCATAAGGATACAAAAGAAAAGGCGCTGCTCCTACTCATCTCAAGTTGTCCATGCAGACATTATAGGACCAATATTAAGACTGGATTGTAAGACTCCTCAGACACCAAGATAATGCCAGATACCCTTCTATTACATTGTGCAGATATCTACAATGGCATTTCAATTCAGTGGCACAGAAATATTAAAGGACACCATGCACTCCATAGCCATCCCCATTTCCAAATTTAAATCCCTAAGACATATTTTTTACTATATAGCAATGTGATTAAAGCTGTACTAGTTTTTAAATAAACAAGAATTTATAAGCAACAGTGTCTGTAAAAAAATAATCCAGAATATTCACAATAAAAGACACTGATGCCCAAAGGGATTGGAAATCACACAATAAATGACATTAATAAAAATGGGAAAACATATCTCAAACAAATCTCAAATTCGGTGCACCTTCATGCAGCCCCCCAAAATCACCTCTTTCCGAATAGAGAGTTCCAGGTTTTCTACTTTGACTCCTCTCTGCAGGCCGTGTAGATTCTCACGCAAGTTTTCCTTTCCTCTTGGAGTGTAGGGGACAAAATCATTGTCCATACGTAGAAAAAGTACAGGTTCTTCACGAACACAAAACACAATACATTCCTGCTACGACAAAGAGAACTATGTTGGCTACCTTCTCAACAGGTGGTAGATAAACGCTAATTTACATGCAAAGTCTTCTCTGCCTATAGTAATTATCTTCAAGTTTGGACTACGCTTGGATGTTCTGCACATTGTCCTTCAGGGCACTGCTCAAGGGAAAATCTCTAGATGTGCAAGAGAACAAAAAAGTACTCCAAGAAACAGATTTTTGATGTTGCTAGGAAAAAGTCAAACATACATACATCAAAATGCCTATGGAGAAAAAAATGGAGTTTCACTGTTTTCTCCCATCTAATGATATGTGCATAAAAGTATGTGTACTAGAAGACCTCCAAGGTCCCTTCCAACCCTATGATTCTATGATATATACAATGGAGGTGCATCTGAACCTTGTTTGTTGAAAGGATACATGGGGTTTACAAGGGTGGTATAGCATATCTTTGCCCTGACACAAGCAGGAATGCTGAACTTTCAGCCACTGTTTAAGGGAATAAACAGTACTGCGTGCTCAACCAGGACCTGGTATCTAAACCCTAACTTAGAAAAAAGTAAGGCTGCTACTATTCAGGACAGAAATGAGATAGTATGGAGGAATGGTCTAATTCAACAGAAAAAATAGCATTGTGCTGACCTTAAACATTTACAGATACATCCTCCCCCATAAAAGAAGCTATGCTGATCTACATCAGCCTAAGTTCTACAGCTAAGCTCTACATAGGGCACGCTGTCACTGCAGCCACAATGTGGACAGTGAGTGCCACAGGCCTAGCTTCTATAGTCCTTGCAGCTTACTCTCATCTTAGTGAACATCTAAAAGGTTATGTATACAATTGACAAGATTGTTTTCTTAAAGAAAAGCTTAGTCTGCTCCAAATAACCTAGAAACTAACAGAGTAACTGCAGAACTTGGCTTTAGCTGGGTAGCTTATTGCCAAGGCACTTTCTCTCAACCTAGATTTCCCTGCTCTGAACTCTGTGGAAAAAGAGTCAAATGAAAACAAATAATAAGCAGGTGACCCATGTTTCAGGCTAGCTAAGAAACCAAATTTTCTTTGCTACAAGTAGTCAACCGAAGGTGTATTTATTCATCTACGGGGCAACTATCCAACACAGAGCCCAATTACTTAAGGGGCTACCTGTCTCCCAGAGTATCTGCCCAGATAATTCAATCTGGCGGGGTTGGCACAATCTGGATTCCTTTGATTTAATATTGCAATCTATTGGGACCCTAGAAATGCACATTCTTTGTAGTAGTGCCTGCCATAAGGTTCCCCCTGAGATCCTGATGGCCCCCACCCTGTTGATGCTTTGAAGGGCCTTGAAGATCTGGCTCTTTGTCCAGGCCTTTGGTAAGGGTAAGAGAAGCCCCCCTTTGGACTACATGGGTTTATTTCTTTTTGTTCCCGTATGGTTTTTTGTTACCCTTCCCACCTTCACTCTTTTGTCTACTGTTGCATTTTTCCTTGTCGTTAACCTTTTTAATCTGCAACCACCCAGAGTCATTAGGAGTCAGGCAGCATATAAATCTAATTAATTATAACTATAACCAGATTCAGATTCTGGCTTACATATAGGAAACTATATCTCAGTTGTGCTTTCTTTCATGTACAGACCTTATGACCATCATTCTGGAGTTTCTGCAGGACTTGCTTGAATCCACCAAAGCTGGGCTGGCCCATCCCAAACACTGCATATCCCCCTTTGGCCTGTCGAAAGTTTGGAGCCCCACAAGTGCTGGAAGTATTCAAGACATCTAATTTGCTGTATACATCACGGACCATAAAATATTTCCCCTATGTACAACAACAACAAAAAGGAGGGGAGACATGAGTGTGCAAAAGAAGGCAGTGCAAGCAGTCAATTAATGTCTTCACAAAAATAACGTGGTCGAGAATCTGCAGATGACCAAGCAAATTCATGGAAGACAGTTGTATTAAGGCCATTATCCATTAAAGCTCAATAGCATTCAGCAATATTATGCCACTAATAACCACTTGTTGGACAGGGAACCAGAACAGAGAAACAGGATGTTGATCTTTTGACCCAGAAAGGCTCTTTTTTATGTTTGTACATCATCACATCCTACTGCATATCCATGCATAGCTCACAGCACTCACCTGTACAAGATAGTGTTCTGGAGTAGATTCTGTAATCCGCCCCACAGCATAGCTGGCTTTCAATAAGTCGTCATGTATTTGAAACTCTTCTTTGCAATTGTAACTGTAAGAAACACATGACAGAAATTGAATAGTGGGATTTTCTGCAATTAAAATATATCCTGTGATGACACACTCTACAAGCACCATAAGATTCCATCACTTAATTTCCTATTCCACAGAAGGTTGATACACCTTACCCAGATGGTAAGCCCTGTAACAAACAAACAATCTCACAGCCATAACTCAAACTACTTTGTGTAGCTGTCCTATTTTACACTGAATGTGTGTACAAACTGTTAGGTAGTCCAAACAAAATTGCCACTCAGTTAATATAATAACATAAATTGCACCTCTCAAGTTGCAATGCAGCAACAGAAGCAAGTGGCCCATCAAGGCTGTCAGTATTAATGGGGGGAGGGGAGAGTTATACCTGTGTTTTATGTACCTAAATCAAAGATTGGCAATAGAAAGACTCACAGGTATCTTTTTGTGGCATCCGCCAAGCTCTTGTCCCATCTATTTATTTAATACTAATTGGTAAGTTGTTAACCTGCAAAGCTAAGCCCTAGATTCTTATATCATCCTTATTCTATTTTTTTTAATATTAACAATTAACAATACAGTTACACGTATATAGAAGCAAAATACATACAACCTTATTTGATTAGATTATCTATGAACTTGGAACTGGGTAGCAGACAATCATTAAGTCGTGTTGCCCATGATTAATAAGTTTAGGCCATTTTTCCATTACAGCAATTTTTCAGCATATTTGCCACCGTATGAAAATACTCAGAACCCTTCCTCCTTTCAGGATCCTGCTACTACCTGCCTGGCTGCGACCAATAAGAAAACTATCAATTCTTTATGTTTCAAAGGGTTAGTTGCATTATCAAAACAACTTAGTAAGGCCAATATAGGCTCTTACGTAATGGCCTGAGTTGTGATTTATCCTAGTTTTATATTTTTTAAAAATCAGTCCAAAAAGACTGGACAGGTTTACAAGACTACCACCCATGATAATCGGAAGCTATTTCTTTCTATTTTCTCCAATAGCTTCATCAGACCAAGACAACCCCAGGATTCCACACAGGCTGGTGGTCTTAGGCACAACAGCAGCATGGGGCTGAATTTTGAGGTTTGCTTGGATGTATATCCACATACCCAGAGAAGAGACAGAGTTAGAGTTAGGCTAAGAAAAGACAGCAGAGGATACTCTAAGTAGCTAGTGCAGATGGCACAACACCAGTTTCATTAGTCTGCCTTTTGGTAAAGTCATATTTTGGGACTATTCACTCTCCCTATAAGAGCCATTTGTCCTTATTATTCTCAACATTCAAATTGTGGCTATCAGCCCATAAACATTGCCTGCTCTGGATTTATATGCTTACTTTTAAGCAACCAATTATGAGGCAGGTCAGCTTTAAGGGACAATAACACATATAAAGCTATGATGAGCTGATTGGGAAAAACAAGACAATGGGATGGACATTAACCTCTACTGCTTAGCATTTAAGTTCAGCTGGAAATGCATGTCACTCCTCTCTAGATTTTAACCTGCATGTTCTATATGCCAAGAAAAACCTGCTGATTTTATTTTATGCTGTGGCTAATTTTTCTTGGATTGGGGAATAACTGCCTTCAAACTCTCATTTGCAGATTAGGGTTCTGTGCCCGTGTTATACCAACAAAGACCACTAACTACTGACACTCTGGAGCTTCAATATTTTTCTCTAACCCATTCCCACCTGAAATAACAAAAACAGAAGAGGGAGCAGAATTCCTAACCACAAACCGTGGCAAATGGGCTGTAATCAATTTTGTAGGCCACAAGTAGAGATGGTTTGTTTTAGAGCAGCCTTTCTTAACCTGGTGTTCTCCAGATGTGCTAAACTCCAGCTTCTGTCATCCCCAGGGAGCACAGAAGTACCAAGTTGAGAAGTGCTGCAGAGGGAACACATTGTCTCTTCTATCACATTCTCAATACAAGATGAGAAAGGGAACAATGTCGGACATCTTTTCTTAGCCTAACTCTTTATGCAGACAACATCACAGCCATTAGAAGACAAAGGAGCTCCAGAAGGTTGGCACAAAGATTAAAAGATCTGCAGAAATATAACTGGTGGTTGCAACTCACGTAATGACAACAGGCGCCACCTTATTAGTGATAATAGACTTGGCTTTGTTATTGTGGAGGCCAATGGTCTGGAAGGAGTGAATGCTGAGGGAATGATGATCCTCCATGGTTCCACTGCCGTGAATATTCTCAAATGTTGCTGTTGCTACTGTCTGCTGAGCTGTGCTGGCAGTTGTACCCATAATCCACAGGCAACTATATCAATAAAAATAATCAGAAAATTAATAAAAAGAAGGGGAAGGTTAAGACTCCAGTAGTCTGCAAAGAAAGAGGGACAGAGGACACAAAAAGAAACATATTCAGTGAAAGGCAATCAGGAATTGTTTGCTTATTTATTTTTATTTATTTACAGGTCTTATATGGCCACCTAACTCATATGATGACTCTAGGTGGCTCACAACTATCCATAAAAAAACATGGTTAAAAACAAAAGTGTCCTTCCCCCCAGGAACCAGACCAATCATCCTAGCAGCTCAACACCCATCCTAACCCAAGGCTTGGGGGAAGACCCAGGTCTTCACAGCCCTCCAGAAAGCCAAAAGGGTAGAGATCCCTCAGATCTCAGGTGGGAGACTGTTCCAAAGGGCTGGGGCAGCCACCCAGAAGGCATGCCTCTGAGATCCTATCAAATGGCAACATTTGAGGGGACCTGGAACATGCCCACCCTATCTAACCTAGTAGGACGGGCAGATACCCTCAGGGAGAGGTGATCCCATGAGTAACCTGGCCCTCTGCCATGCACCTTGAATTGCACCTGGAAAGCAACCGGGAGCCAGTGCAGCTCACACAGCAGTGGTGTTACTATTTGACATAGTTATGCATCTTTTTTCAGAACTAGGGCTTTCACACTATATTCCAGAAAAACCTGGGGATTCCTTGGGAATTCTTTCGACAGTTTTCACAGATTTCCCCTAGCATTATGTAACTATGCAAAAAAACCAAAAAGTGCGGGTGAAGAACGTAGCTGGTGTTTCACAGAAAAAAGGAGCCTGCAGAATATTTTGGGCATAATCTAGGATATAAAGTCCTGGCATTCTATGGCAGATGACCAAGGAGTTCTTGGCAGATGAATCAGTGCTGAAAGCATTGCCTAAAACTGGAAAGAGCACAAGCCACTGAGCTATTGCTGTACCCACAGTCCATTCTGGCAACTTTGATGGCTTCCAAAGTAGTCATTTGTTTAATAAAACAAGTAAAACACTGGTAAATAGTGCGGAGAGAAAGTATGTGAACCCTTTACAACCATCCATAATCCTGTAGCGCTGTGTCTTGCAATGTGATCAAAGCTTCATCTAAGTCCTATTAGTTAAAGAGATACTAGTTAAACCAGTAGCACACAAAACAGTGTATTGTGCCATGACTTCATTGCAGACACTGAGTCAGCATGCTTTTTCTAGGTAGTGACTGCTAGGCCCAAACATTAAAAACATGGTCGAAATCTTGCAAGATGGCCAAGTATTCTAAGATTTTAACTATATGCTTATTTTGGTATAAGCATCTGCAGTATTCACATGAATTCCTAGTAGTCTCCAGGTCTTATCAACCTTCCAAAGAACCAAACATTACTAGGTAGCATAGTAAGCATGCTTTTCATCCTACTCCATGAATGTTTCTCACATATAGAGACAGTAACTGCCTCCATGTCTTATAACATACACACAACTTTAACCTAAGAGCTCTGGAAAAGACTTTTCATCCAAGTAGACATTCTTCTACTATTGCTTCTGCAACTTGTATTTCAGAGGCAGAATACCTTCACCTATAAACCCAAGTAGAATATATCTTCAATGCAACATGAATCCAACAGTGTGCTTAGCATACCCAAAACGTTTGGTTGTTTAGATGGTATATAGAAGAGGTGACTAGCGGGTGCTCCAGATCATCACACACTATTTTTTGTTCATGCTAATTTGTGTAATTCCTGAAATCAACCTTTCTTGCCAGTTTTTCAATGGCAGAGCAATTTAACTAGAAGCCATCAGTAACTGTGATAGTAGCACAAAACAAAAATGAACCAAAGTTCTCAGAAATGACTTGCTATATCATCACAGAAACAGCAAACTGCAACTGTGTCTTATAGAAAGATGTGAGGACTCAAAGGATTTGATGAAGTAGACCACTGTCTGTAATGACTTAAAATACTATCAGTGGTTGTGAATTTTTAAAACACCATAACCATGTGATTATAAATACCCATGTAAGGAGGAAGACTGTATGCATGTGAAACAAATTAAAATTGATCCTTTTAAAGTTTATCACCATGAAAACTTTGCCCATCCATAGAAAAGGAAAGACATCTGTTGGAATCAGAGTAGCAACCAGAATTCCAGGAGCAATTTCATGAAAAATATAAACACCCAATCAAAAGATCTTGTCTCATATTGACACAGAGGTGACACACCATGAAATACATCCCTTCTAAGAAGGCTGGCCAACCAATCACTTTTCAGTTGCTCATTTTTAATTTTACTCACTTATTTGATCAATTATTATTTTTCAACACTGGCAACTTTTATGCAAAAAGCAATTTTTTGCATTAAAAAATTGGGTGGCTATCTGCAGATGCAATAAGGATGGAGAAACAGTGATGCTTCACCACCCTTATCATCATGAAGTAGGCCTTAATAGTCACTCTACCCCACATTCGATCAGGTTTGCTCCTTGTCGTCCACCAGTGGTGTTCTAGGTGTCTCTTCTACTGCTTCATCTCCTTTAGCTCCTCTGTAAGCAGGACCTCTGGGAGTGGAGAGGCTGCTTAGCCACAATCGGATCCAGAGCCCCAGCCACCTCTCACTCCAGGTGGCCACTGGGACTTTGATCGGACCATGCAGCAGACCCTCCAGAACCCCAAGCTCCTTCTGGAACCCAACTGGTCCATTAGTCACCTGGGATGGACTGATCTAATAGGTCCAGCCTCCCTCTAAAAGGAGAAGTTGTTCTGCTGTGGCCTTGCAGATGATGGCCCTCTGGAACATCATCCCTCTAGGGATCAGACTGACTCCAACCCTCCTGGCCTTTCATAAGGCCTTAGAGACCTAGTTTTGTGCTCAAGCCTGGGGTCCCAGGTGTCTGAAGGAACCCATCTTCTACCTGTGCTAATGGCTGTTTGATTTTTCTTGGTTGCTGGGTATTTTCATTTTTGTATACGTGTTTGGTTTTATTTACTTTTAATAGTGTTAGCTGCCCAGGGACATTTGAGATTGGCAGCCACGTAAATTGATTAAATTAAATAAATAAATATTTTTTTCCTTCTAGCTCACTCTCAATTCCCCAGAACAAGAAGTTTGTCAGACAGGTTCCAGCTGTTCAAAGCAGCTGGCTCCCTTCTAAAGGAGGGAGAGAGAACTGCTGTTGCAAATCTTGAAATTCAGCTATAAGAACTGCTAACAGCAGGACATCTCCTTTTCTTGTAGTCGCTGTTCTCGCCCTTGTGATTCGTCCAATTACCTGGAAGAATCCATTTACCCCTAGCCTAAACACAAATTGCTTGAGTTTTAAGGGTATGGTGCATAGATTTTGAACAAAACAGGGGATGCATCTCTCTCTGTCTCTCCCGTTAGAGAGCAGACCCTAAATGAATTAAAGCATGCCATATTTCCTTACATCTCAATCCACTTAATTGATTGCTTCTTGCAGCAGAGGGGAGGAAACATCTAGAATGTCAATCCATACTATATTTATGTTATAACTAAGCAGAATTATATGTATGGCTGTTTCACATGCTATAATATTGAGTGCCAACATGAAACTTGTCCCAACACAAATTTAAAGCAAAATCAAAACCAATCCATAGCAACATCAATGAAATGATTCATGAGGCTCCTAAAACAACAAATCTTAGTTCAAGATAAACACTTAAATTGGCAGCAGCCAGGCACTGCATCAACTGATCCTTAATACAAAGACTGTCACATATCTTTCTTAATAGCTAAATGAAATAAAGACCATCAACTACCAGTGAGGGCACAGGAAGTAGCAAAACCACAACAAAAGGCTCAATGAAATTAAAGTAAAATTGCCAAAACAATTTTAAAAGCTAACACTTGAAAGCTAACATCTGGAAAGGCCAATGTGTCTTTTTTAATTAGATACAGAAAACTATAAGAATTATTGCACAATAAATTAGCCTGTAACAAGTATAATTAAGGAAATCATATGGACAATATTTTTGCTGAGATAACTACTTCACAAGATTGGTACAAGACTGAATTGTTTGTATTACAGCATACAAATCAACACATAAAAGTAACTCCAGGAAATTATGTCTTAACACAGCTTTTCACAGCACGTTGCACTCCAGCTGTGCTGGGACAACCATTTCCACAATTCTCAATCATCCTGGGAATTGTAACCCCAGACAAATAGTGCACATCAGCTTGGGAAAAGGAAATTTATCAGAGCAACACATGTGAATTTTACAGACACTTGCTACCATGTCAAATTATTGTTAAGGATTTTTTAAAATTAAATTACAAAGGATTCGTAGATTAATACAACCCATTGATATTAGGAAATTAGGAGCCAGGAGCCTAGCCTAGCCTCTCTCAACTAAAAGATGAATAAATCACACTTCTTTCCAGTTCCTGTGAGTGACAGGGCACAAACTGCTAATATTTATGCTGGCTGTCAATGCATTTTATCATTAAAATGTCCCTGCATTTGACCATGAACAAATACACATTTCACACATCCCAGAAGATGGAAGGAGGAAACACAACTCGGTCCCACTCCTTGCTTCAGAAACTGAGCAAACTCAGGGAGGCAGTGAAGGACAGGAAGGCCTGGCGCAATATGGTTCATGGGGTCACGAAGAGTCGGACACGACTTAACGACTAAACAACAACAAATCAGAAGGTGGTTTTGTACACCAAGACACATAGCCCAGGACCCCAAAAGACTACAGCAAAATGCCACATCTCTGCTTCCAGAGATATAATGGCAGTGTTGTTTCCCTGCCAGTCCCTCATGGGGGAGCTTCATTCCTTCTCCTGAATTGTCCTGTGCCACAGTTATTCACACATCTTGAATTTACATTCCACCAAAGAAGAGAGCTTGGCAGGAATCAGAGACAAGCCTAACAATGGGCTAAATTTAGATAGTGTGGCTAACAGGGAGGAGAACAGAGACCCACAGCTGCAGGATGCATCTGTCTAGGACTCTACTTCTTAGGTGGAGGAATCCCTCTGCCCTTCTTT